GCTGGACATATGGTGCAGCAGGTGCCACGGCGCGGGGGAAGTTTGATGCCGCGGCGCGGGGCGTGCATAACTTGTACTCTCTGTCAAGCTCGTGGCACCCGGTGCGGCGCGGCGCGCATGCGGGGCCTGGGCAGGCTGGTGGGCAACTCGCACTACTTCGTGTCTCGGGCTCATTTGGGCTTGTTTGGACTCCGATTTTGGTTTCGCTTTTTCTTGTGTGCTGTCAACGAACTTCTCTATTTAATTACGCTTGCCCGACTAATGTTTTCTTGATACCCTATCTTCCAGAGACTCTCGACCTGCACACCAAAAACGACAAGAAAAACGGAGAAAATGGAAAACCAAACGAAAAGCACTGAAATGACTCCAAATAGATGAAAACACGAAATAAACTACAAAACGAACTAAAAACCAACTAAAAGACCTGATATGAGGGAAAAAGAAATGAAAAATAACAAGGAAAAATGCAACAAAAACGGGACAAACAGTTCCACATCATCTTTAATTACTTTACCATGGCTGGGGTATGTATGAGAAAAGTTATATCGCCTTGAGGGAGGCTTAGCAGGCCTTAATGCTCGCTCGTAGGTTCTGATGAAAGCTTAGCGGGCCTTAATGCTATCGTTGTGTGCACATGATTTACGCACAACCGCCGGGAGTTAGCAAACAATTCAGTTCAATTCAATTTAATTCAGTTCATTCCAGTTCAACTCAGTGTTCATTTCATTTTAGTTTAGTTACTTATATGCTTAAGTCATGATAATGTTATTATTCATGCTGTTTATTCAGTACTGGTTTCTGCGGAGCATAGTAGTTTCGCTCACGCCTCTACTAACTTTCTTTTTAGGTGACAGAGTCCAGCGTGGAGCGTGAGCACTCGTGGTGGTCGTGGTCATGAGCTCAGTACACATTTTGACACGCATTCCATGTCATGTATTATGAACATGTAGTTTTATTTATGCGTGTGTTTATTATGTTTTAGCTTCCGCATATTCAGACCCAGAATGGGAACTTCAGACTTATGCATGTGTAATACTTTTATCTCCATGGTACCTTTATTAAATGGATTTAATTAGGTGGCATGTATTATTAATTATGTCTGGATGAGAAAGAGATAAGAATAGGAAGTTTAGTAACATCCCGCAAGACAGTAATAATATTTTCGAAAATAAAGTTAGCGTTTTTCGAAAATAAAAAGCAAAAATTTAACTCTGATTTAAAAGTCTAGAAATAAAAGGTGGGGTGTTATAATCTGGTATCAGAGCAGTTAGCGGTTCTGTATACTTAAAAAGTTTTAGAAAAGCATGACCACGCTCACGTCGCGCCGACTTCGAGGTAAGTTACCTAAACCAGTTTTATTATTGCAAATGAAAGAGCATATATCATGAGATCTTAGGGGCATAGGACCTATCTTCCGATGAGAAAGAGAACCCCAGTTAGAATTCTAGAAAGTTGAGCTAAGTCCAAACTCTAGACTAAATCAGAACTCTAGCCAGAACTTAGAAGAGTTAAGTATAAACCGGAACTCTAGCCAAGCTAGGTGTTTTCGGCAATTCATTGATAAATTCGTTAAGTAGTGTAGCTATTTCTTAATTGGCTATACTGTTCTAAATCAAATTGTAATTTGCTCTCCAGAATGCCGCCGCGCAGAGCGGGAACAGGCGGTAGTTGTGGGCCAATTATGGGCATTCACACCTCTAGTCTTCACTGGAGAGGAGGGTCCGATGGCCATAGGTGACTGGAGTCGTCGGATGGAGCGAATCTTTCAAGTGATGGGTTGTACTGACCAGCATAAGGGCGCATGTGCCGAATTTCAGATTGACGGCGCAACCAGAGATTGGTGGAACGACTACTGGCGTTTGAAAACGGAGGACGAGCATAATGAGCTGACATGGGATCGACTCAATGGAGATTCTAGAGGCCAAGTTTTACCCACGCCATTAATAGATAAAATATAGAAAAATCCTCAATACAGCTATTAAAACATAATTAAATAGAAACTGCCATTAACACAATTATTTTGAAACAATTTTGTAAAAAATTATAATTGAACAAATCACCCGATGTCATCTGTGATTATTGTGGCAATGCTCATGATACTATTGAACATGTCTTATTTCACTCTGATAAAGCAAACAGACTTTGGGAACTTTCTCCAGTCACATGGGATGGGCTGCATTCCTCATCACTTCAGGTGCTGGTGGTCTCATATAAGTTCATTGGGCAAATCAGAAACAGCCGAAAGCCAGAATCCAATTGACTACATGCATGCTATGGTGGCTTTAGAAGTCCAGGAATCTCTGGATCCTCCAAAACACTAGACTGCCAGCTCACTTGATTGTCAAAATTGCACACAAAGAATTGATGGAAATTTCCCAGCTTCAGCTTCAGTGATTTCTTTTGTTTTCAGTTTTTGGTTTAGTGTTTTATTTTGTGTTATGCTTGTGGTTTTGACCCTCTAGGCATTTTGCAGTGGAAGGTCGTTGTATTTTCCTTTTGTCTTAGTTAGCTTTTCAAGTTTTAGGCCACAGTGGTGCGTGTCCTGTCAGTTTTTAGTTTCAGTCATTCCAGATTGTATTCGAACTAGTTCTCTTGAGTTAATACATATCTCTTTCGTTTCGAAAAAAAAAAAATCAATCAAATTTACACGATCTGCGTAATTAGGGTATCTTAAAAATGGGTAAATTGCACCAAACCCCCCTGTGTTTAATGAAATGTGCGCGTTTCCCCACTGTGTTTTAAAAAATGCACCAGACCCCCTTGCGTTTAAGTAACTGATGCACGGTTCCCCCATTCCGTCCAAGTTAACCGCGCGTGTATGACACCTTCTCTAGCTGCGAGGTTTGTTCAATTTTTTTATTTTCAGAATTACTATTTTACATTTATACCCTCCTGAATTTTATTGCAAAAGTTAAAATTATATTTAGTGTGGGAAGGAAGAATGGAACCCGAGTCTCAAGGATGGAAAACACCCAACACAACCACTGGGCTACAATAGTGACTGTGTAATCTAATGAACATAAATATATATATATATATACTAGTTGGGTCACGCCGTGCACGCACGGCGGACTCAAATTTAGTCTAAAAATTACAGTGAAAATTTTTCATTAGTTGTAATGATCAATCAAGTTCATGTTCATTTATTACACTGGTTGTTAACAAAATAAGCTCCATAAAGGGCTCATTACACGCAATAATCAGTTGTTGCAGCTCTCTACATATATTATGCCCGTTAAGTTGACATGGTCTCAAATGAATCAATAGTGTATAGTGTTTGATAAGAGGCGATGCTTTTAAAGTATTGGTATGCAGTGAAAATTTGTCGTCTATTGGTTGTGCACGCACAGCTAGCTCAAATTTGGTCTATAATGGACAATGACCATCATAATAAATTAAGCTAACAACGTCACTACGAACAAGAAAACAGAGAAGTAATAAAGCCCAAAACAGAGTAAAACAGGATTCTTGAAATCATAATCATTCACATTCACATCCTGTAATCTATAAGAGTCACTTGCTCAACCAAACACATTATAAAAATAAAATTGCATGTTTAAATTTTGGCAAAATTATCATTACTCGCCTTAGTGCCAATACTCACGGAAGAATGACCAGCGCGCACTCAACCAAGGACCACCAGCATCCACCTAAAACCAAAAAACAAAAAAATAAAAGTTAACAAACTTAGTCATGATAGGTACAACATAAAACTCTCCCTCTCTCACAACACTCCCTCTTAATATACATCCAGTGATAGACAATCTGAGTGCTAATATTGACAATCAAGACAATTCATAGTATGTTTGTAGAGAAAAATGCACTTAACATCAAGTGCTAATGACTTTTCTCAAGAGAAATGATTCCAAATGCTAACCAATCACAAAATGTACTGAAATAACTTTTACCAATTGTACTACTTGATGTACATGAATTGGGCTTTTAGGATTCGGGTTCCAAGCATGTTTGTAATGCTCTAGGAAATTTCTATATTATAATCTTTTGATTGTTCCTTTTTCAACAAATACTCTCAAGCCCAGATGCAAAACTCAGGAACCAATGATGAATAATTAGAGCTTAGAAGGCTAAGTTGAGTTTGACTAACAAAATTAAAAGAAAAAAGTGTGATATAAGGAAAATCTTTTCGAAGGACTTAAACTAACTCGCAAGATTAGATTTTGTCTATATCTTTTAACTTCGCTCATAAACTCACATAACAACAGACAATCAGTCACTACAATTATCACACTCAAAATACACAAATCTATCGATAAATAACATTAGTCTTTTCACAAATTTGACAATTTCAATTACCTCACACCAATATGAGCTAAACATAGAATAAACGCAGGAGGGCCAAAAGCAACAGAAATAATCAAACTGAAAGATAATAAAGATGGTTGATTTATGAACTGATATTCCAAAAGCCAATTACATTAACCTCCCAATTTTCCAATGATTTTTGAAGAGAGTTTGCAGGGCCAGAAAGAGGACGTCTTTCCCTTTTTTATTATTTATTGTTCTTTGTTTTTAATACATGATGAAAAAATTATTTTCCCCACAACTTCTGACGTAGATGAATTAAGACACTCTATATTCCTAATGAAAAACGGGAAATAGACAACCACACCACTTTGATGCTTTTGATGCTGAATGAGGGGTGGAGAGAAATCTGATACTGTCCTGCTTTTACCATTCCGAACAAATTATCCGTCATCAGTGGATTTGTTTCCTCTTATGTTCTCCATTCATAGACAAACAAAAACACCAAAAATGTGTTAGTACACACACAAATCAACAAACAATATCAGTAGGGAAAAAAAATAATTTATAGATAATACTTTTTTTTCGTATCGTCGAGCTTTAAGTTGAGTTTGTCGCTGCTAAGTATGGTATATGGAGAATGATGATCGGCAGAGTTTTAAAATTGTACAAAGCTTAGCCAATTCATTTTATCTCTGCAACTATCTTCCCTATCTCGATGGCTTCCGACTTCGTCTTTACAGATTTTTTTTCTTCGGTATGAACTCCAACAGAGGCGCATCACTCGATTTCCTGTACTGAGCTAATTCATCCTCCATCTCTATAATCGCTGCAAAAAAAAAAAGATATACCGCAGCTAAAATACCAGCAAATGAAGTTCGGTCATGCATACACACATCCATAGCTTCCTTACCACTATCTAATGATCAATACCACATATCAAACAAAACAAATCCACCAGCAAACAAGAGAATAAGATCAATGCACAAACAACTTAATTATACATCACCCCAATCTGTTCTTCCATTGTTGTTCAAACTGTAGCTATACATAACCAAAGCCGCATCAAAACGAATCCCTAGCTAGGGTTTATCATAAGCTATTGTCAAAAAAAAGAAAAAAGAAAAAAAAAACTAACAAAAATGACTGTAAAAGAAAAAAATAAGAAATTCACCAGAAAATCAAATGAATGGAGAAAGATTCTGCTCGTGAAATTGCTCGACGAAAAGCACCGAATTTTGACTTTTGCAGCCCCTTTGATATCCGTTGCGACGCTAAAAATCTGAGATGCCAGCTCGTCCGAAATGCCGGCCCTAAATCAAAATGAAAACCAAGATCGATAAACAGGAGACTCAAATTTCGAAATAAAACCAAAAAAATACTCCAAATTTACCCCCAAAACATCAAAAATAAAAATTACAAAACAAAATACAGCTGAAAATCTGATCATCCATGGAGTTCACAATTTTCTCTTCATAGTTCTTCTCTCGCTCGCAGCCATAAAAGATAATTTGGGACCCGTTCGGGCTAATACTTCGGAGGATGCTGGTGCCCGATTTTTCGGCTCCATGGAGAATTGTGAACTTCTTGATTTCGGTCAGTGGTGGTGGCGGTGGCAGGGATGCGTGTCGTTGAGAGCTTTCTGGTGAAAATTGCGGTGAAGGGATAGAATCCTTCGCGATGGCGGCGGTGGGTGTGGTCTAATCGGGTGAGGCGTCGTCTTTCTAAGGTGGTTGAGGTGGCGGCGGAAGGCTGAGCTGGTGGTGGTGTTTGGGGCCGCCTGACGTGAATCTATTGGGAGAGAAAAAAGAGGGTTAGGGTTTGAAAATGGTGGAAAATGAATTGCTTTTCTCATCTCTCTTGCCTTTTGTCTTTTCAGAAGGACACAAGCACGTCTCCAAGCAGATTTTGAGGGAGCAAATCCCGCAAGAAACCTATACAAGAAAAGAGTACATGTAAAATGACTTTCACAACCCCAAAAAGTTGAATACAGAAGGGTATTTGAGTAAACAATACTAAAAAATACAGAAGACATTCAATTTACCATATTGATCTTCAAAATTAGTTAAGTGGTGTTTTTTTTTGTTTGTCCAAAAAAGAGCATTTTAGTAATTGTGCATTAAAATGCCAAATGTCAAGCAAATAAGATGCCACTTGTCGCAATTTAAGAGCCTATAACTTCTTCTTATATATATAAGAGAGATATATCATATGATACGGAAATGAATTAAATAGAATAAAAATAGAGTAAATAAAATAAAATAAAGTATAATAGGTAAATTTAATATAAATTAAATAATTAATAATAATTTTAATAATAACTTGCAATAAATTAAATTAATATAAAAATAATGAAAAAAACTAAATTAAAATAAAGTAAGATAAAATTTGATATAGTAGCGTGATTAAAATTAAATAAATTAATATTTTTAATTATTGTAATAAATTAATTATATAAATTTCAAATGAAAAATAATATTAAAAATAAATTAAAAAATAAATAAATTAAAAATAAACTAATTAAAGTAAAATATAAATAATATTTATATAAGATAATAATGGATTCTCTCGCCTGAGAGCGTTAGCCATTCTCTCGCCTGAGAGCGTTTTCCGATTATCTCGCCTGAATTCTGGTTTCTCATCCACTTCCACCCCCATCCTTCATTCCTTCACTCACCTCTTTCTTTCTTTATTCATTCTGCGATCATTATTTTTTAATTAGGGTTCCTATGGGATCATCAAAATGTATTGGGCAAGATGAAGAATTATCACAGAAACTGCAGAATGTAGCGCTTTCTGCCAAGGAACATTCCTTTATCGACATCGGGCAAGAAGATATAAAGATTAGTGCAGACGAATGCCTCCGCAGCTTATTCGGGAAAATTGTAGGAGACCGGAAAAATAGCTGGATCGGAGTCAAAAGGGCAATGAGCCAAATCTGGAGGCTTAATCAGCCCATGGAAATCAAGGAACTAGGGCCGAACTACTTCCAATTCATCTTCCAAAGCAAAGACGACAAGGAACGAGTGGCCAAGGGCATTAACTGGACGTATGACAACCAGTATCTAATTCTATCTGAGTGGAAAAAAGGTCTGTCGATAAACCACTCTACTTTTAATGAACTCAACTTATGGGTTCAGGTTTTCAATGTGCCACTAGATTGGCTAAGCACTGAGGTAGGCCGGAAAATTGGAAAGGTGTTTAAACAGGTGCAGAATGTGGTCATTGTTGGTGCTGGAAGCCATGGGGGAAGAATAATGCGCCTCCTAGTCACAGTTGATTTACAGGAAGCTCTACCTCGATGTGCTAACCTCAGAATGGATGATCAAACAGTCAATGTGGGATTCAAATATGAGAAGCTCGTTCACCATTGTCATTATTGTGGCCTAATAGGACACTTGGACAGAGCATGTACGTTGAGAATGGATGACATTAAATCAGGAAATGTCCAGGAGGGTCAGTTTGGTGCATGGATGAAGGCTACTGAAAGCCATCACTGGGCAGGTATTAATTCCCAGGGACCTCACAGTCACTCAACCTCAGATAACCCATCCTCTCCTTCAAACTCTAACTCTCAAATACCTACTCCATCTTCCCACAAAAATGATAGCAACATAATTCTCTCCATTGAAGGTTCACCATCTCAGATTCAAAAACCAGCCTCTGAAACCTCTACTTCTCAACCTATTCAAGCCATTCCTCCTTTATCTACCAATCTACCTAAAGACATTCCCATATCTCCAACAACTCACAATAAAGATTTAACCTCTCACAAACAAATCCAATGCCTACCCCAGGAAATGGAAGTTGACAACACTCAGCACCCTGATAATCCTACCAACTCTCTGCAACTTTCTGCACATTCTAAGCAACTTGCTCAACCTAAGCTCTGGAAAAGATCAGAAACTAGATTGGGAAGACTTCAGAGACAACCTTCTACTTCCTCACTCAAAGTGTCAACCACTTCAGTCAAGAGAACCAGAACTGATAATGATGATCAAAATCCAGATACTCAACCTCAAAATCAGAACCCTGAAAGCAACAAGAAACCAAAAATTGATTCTGCAAAGGTGGGGGTGGCCAGCCTCGAATGGCGCCCAAGTGACCGATGTTAGCCGCGGTGTGGAACTGTAGAGGGCTGGGTAGGCCCTCTACGGTTTCCCAAATCCGAGAGTTACATAGAACTCACCACCCATCTTTTATATTCCTTTCAGAAACTAAGAAGCAGAATGGTTTTGTTAAATCGGTTATTAGAGAAATTGGCTATGATTCTAGATACTATATAGTAGATCCTAGAGGCCTGAGTGGAGGACTATTACTACTTTGGGATGCTGAGGTTCAAATTCACAACATAGCCAGCAGAGATTATTACATTGCAGTAGAATACTCTCAAAAAGATTCCCAAAAGAATTGGGGGATATTTGTTTACCTGAACACCTGTCCAACTATCAGAAGGGATCAAATGATTAATCTTGAGCAGGATATGCTTCACTGGGGAGCAAAGTGGTTTATTATTGGCGACTGGAACGACATCATCTCAAATTCTGAGAAGAAAGGTGGAAATAGAAGATCTGAAGCAAGCATGAGGGGTTTCAGAGATTTCATTAATAGAATGGCCATGGTTGAGATCAAAATGGAAGGCTACAAGTTCACCTGGTGTAACAATAGGAACTCAGAAGGCTTGGTAGAAGCTAAACTAGACAGAGGCTTTGGATCACTCGACTGGCTGGCAGATTTCCCCACTGCTTCAATTACAAATGTAGCAAAAAGTGGCTCTGATCATTCTTTCCTTCTTCTCAGTTCTGGTATCAAGAAAGAAAGAATAGTTGCCAGATTTCACTTTGATAAAAGGTGGCTATCCAGAGAAGGGGTCCATGATGTAGTGAAGGAAGCCTGGTCAACTCAACTCAGGGGTACTCCATTCTATCAACTGAAAGAGAGAATTAAGCTAACCAGGAAAGCTCTTCTTCTATGGAGTGCTAAATTCAGATCTCAGCAGCAATCAACCATGGAGAACCTCAACAAGAAACTGGCCCTCATTCAAGAAAGTGGTATAGAAGATCACTGGGATGAATGGAACTCCACTAAGAGGGATCTTGAAAATGTCCACAAGATGGAAGAGTTACATTGGCAACAAAAAGCCAAAGCCAGGTGGATCAAAGAGGGAGACCGCAACACCAAGTTTTTTCATGCTCTCACTCTCCAGAGAAGAAGACAAAATGCTATCACCAGACTTCTCACATCCCAGAACAGGAGCTGCACCACTTCTCAGGAAATTTCAGACCATATCTCAGACTTTTACTCCAACTTATTCACATCAGAAGGCTCTTGGGGTGGAGACTCTCTGCTGCCCTTAATCCCAACCACAATCACAGCTGAAATGAATCAATCTCTTCTCAGACCTATCACAGAGGAAGAAATCCACAAGGCCCTCTTCAGCCTTAGCCCAGAAAAGTCTCCAGGAGAAGATGGTATGACTGCCCTCTTTTACCAATCCTTTTGGAATCTTATCAAACAAGATTTATTTGCAGCTATCTCCAGCTTCTTTACTGAAAATGGCTCTTTGCTCAAGTATTGGAACCATACCATTTTGACCTTAATTCCCAAATGTCCCACCCCTGATTTTCTTTCCCAATACAGACCAATCAGCCTGTGCACTGTGGTCTACAAAATTCTTTCCAAAATCATTTCTTTAAGACTGCAAAGTTGTCTGGATTCTTGTATTAGCCATTCTCAATCTGCTTTTCTCAAAGGCAGACAAATATTTGATAATGTCATCATTGGACATGAAGCCTTCCACTTTCTCAATAGACATGCTTCTGGTAGGAATCACTTTATGGCCTTAAAATTGGACTTAATGAAAGCCTTTGATAGAGTTGAGTGGCTTTGCTTAAAGAAGATCATGATTCAAATGGGATTTCAGCTCGAATTTGTTAATTTGATTATGATCTGCATATCTTCTAGCTCCTTTTCTTTCAAGGTGAATGGTTCTGTTTGTGGCTTTGTGAAACTTACCAGGGGAATAAGACAAGGAGATCCTCTTTCTCCTTATCTTTTTCTCATTGTGGCTGAAATGCTATCTGCTCTGGTGACTGATGCTGTGAACAATGGCAGTTTGACTGGTTTAAAACTATCTAGGAATGGACCAGCCATTTCTCATCTTCTATTTGCAGACGACTCTCTTTTCTTCTGTAAAGCTGGAGATGATCAAGCTATCCATATCCTCAATATTTTGGAAAGATACCGGTTATTCACAGGCCAAAGGGTTAACCTCCAGAAATCAACAATTTTTTTTAGCAGAAATACTCCACAACTCTTGCAAAACAAAATATGTGACACTCTTCAAGGGATTGCTGTTCACAAATCTACCAAATATCTTGGATTACCACTCGGGATTGGGAAGTCAAAACTGCAGGCTTTTCAATTTGTCCTTGATTCTGTCAAGTCAAAATTACTCAGTTGGAAGTCCAAACTTCTATCCCAAGCAGGCAAGGAGGTTCTCATTAAAGCTGTCATCCAATCACTGCCTATATACTCAATGTCCTGTTTCAGACTCCCAGCTTCCCTGTGTCATGAGATAATCAAACTCTGCTCCCATTTCTGGTGGAGTAAAGGTGAAGATCACAGCAGAGGCATCCATTGGAAGGCTTGGGATTCTCTCACATTAGCCAAATCTGAAGGAGGTCTGGGATTCATCGACCTCAAACACTTCAATACTGCTCTGATATGTAAGCAGCTCTGGAGGATATCCACTCAACCTCAACTCTTGGTCAGCAAAATTCTGAAGGATAGATACTTTCCAGATTGCTCCATTTTCTCAGCTACTAAAACTCAGAACTGCTCATGGCTCTGGTCTAATTGGTTAGAGGTTCTGCCCACTTTTGCTAAAGGTTATGCTGTAGAAATCAGGAATGGTGAAACCACTAGAATTGATGAAGTCAATTGGATCCCTTCTATCCCACACCTGAAGCCTTCTATCCTGGAGATTGCCAAAGACCACATCATATGGGTGAAAGACCTCATAAACACTACTGGAACTGCTTGGACAGAATGGCTGGTGAAACAACTCTTCAATGAACCTGAGAGCAAGGCTATCCTCAACATAACCACTCTCAAGCCTAACTGTTCTGACAGAAGATACTGGAAATTCCACAACAAGGGAGTATTTTCTGTTGCAAGCACATACTCCTTTTTGGCTCATCAAAAGCTCCTTCAACTTGACATACCCTGCTGCAGCTACTCAAATAGCAAAGCAACCACCTTCAGATTCTGGAAAATTAAGCTCCCAGGTAAACTTCAACAGTTCCTTTGGAAATGTGTCAATGGTACCCTTCCTGTTGCATCTAACTTGGTGAGAAGAGGAGTGGATATTGAGCCATATTACCAAAGTTGTGGAGTTTGCCTTGAAACTGTAGAACACATCCTTCTCCACTGCCCCAAAGCTAAGATGGTATGGGACATCTCCCCAGTCACTTGGACAGACACATCTTCCAATAGCCCCTTTAAATATTGGTGGGATCATATCTGCTCCATTGGCTCTTCTGAAAATGACAAAGCCCGCATTCAACTCACTACCTATTTACTTTGGTGGCTATGGAAATGTCGCAACCTTTGGATTTTTCAGAAAATGACAATCCCAGCTCACAAGTTAGTCCAAATTGCTCATAAGGAATGGCTCGAGTTCTGCCTGCTGTGACTCCTGCTACCCTTCAGCTTTCATTCAGCTCTCTTTTGTTTGGTTGAGTTCTAGTTTGTTAGGAGTTGCCGCTTAGTTTTCTTTCTAGTTTGTTTTGTTTGGGTTGTATTCTCTAGGCCTTATGGCAGTGGAGATTGGTGTTTGAGATTTGTTTGCTCTCGGTTCTAGGCCGCCTTTGGCGTGACCTCTCATTTTCTATTTCTCTCGGCTTTGGCCTTGGTTGTATTATGACTTTGTGTACTTGGTTTTGAGTTATACATCTTCTATCGTTTCGTTAAAAAAAAAAAAAAA